GCAAGGAAGAGGAGCAAGTGCTCTAAAAAAAGGTTTTCATAGTTACTGGACAAAGGAAGGTATGAATACCTCTACTTCGTATCAATGATGAAGGAAAGAGAAGGGATGTGCACATGAAATACAGAACAAAATCCACATGTTGAGCCTCAAAGGCTTCATCAATCCTTGAATCCACAAATGCTACTAGAGTGGGGTGGCAGGGAGGAGAGAGCCATTCTGATGGACAGAGTTTATGTATGGTTGGACTGCTACCTTTGATTAATTGAATATTTAATGAGTTGTACAATGCTCTCCTGTTCTTTACTGTGGTGCTAACACACAGCTGTCATGAAGTGCGTATTGCCATCATTCTTGAATCCCTGGACGTCAGCAGACACTTACAGCAAACCTGGCTCTGTCCTAACATCTCTCATTGCTCCCCTTACATCCCGGTGCTTTTCACCTCCTCCCTGGATACCTCCATTTTTACCACATCCTCTTTCCATTCCAGCGAGTCTGTTTGCCTTGAACAGACGTTCTTTTCTTTCCACACATTTCTTCAGTTCCAGAGAGAAGAAACGCTGCCACAGGAATGAGGCCAGTGGACGCGTCCTCTCATACTAACATTATGCAAAGGAAAACACTACTTAAAATTTTTAAACCATCTCCACTCAATAATAAACACTGGTTTCGTAGCTCAACCACAGCTACTGACATTTACAACGTATCAATTGTCATGCATTTCCTGTGCGTAACTTGTAAGTTCAAGCCTTTCCATGTTTTAGTGAGGCTTAATTGCTTTTCTGATGAACAATATTTTTTAACTGATTGGAGCATTTGCTAACTCAACTTCACAACATCACCCGACATCATTCATATACGGCGCTTGCAGCTCTAACTCAAGCCGGAGCCAAGCTAGTGTTGAATTTATCTCATGATTCTATAGATTATCCCAAACTTCTATTTGGGGAAGATCAACTGTCACTTTCCCTTCATCTCTATTGTTAGCACAAGTATTTTAACTTTCTGAATTTCCAGAGCCAATCTTTCACAAATCTTTCTTCACAAAGAAATAGCATGTGTTTATCACTCAACTAGATGTAGATGCTGGGTGAGTCACTGAACTTCTTCCTAATCAGGTGATTTATTTCCATATACCAGCCTCGTAGCATCCACTTAAGAAAAATTCAAGGTAGTATATATAAGAGGGATTTTAACTAACTTGTGACCAAATAAAGCATATGTTTTAAATCCACATATGCTCCTACTCTGGTTAATTTAGAAATATCTCCAGGTCCGAATTGGACAGCAGCATGCAGAAGAATGAAACTAGATCATTTTCTCACACCATGCACAAAAATAAACTCAAAATGGATAAAGGACCTGAACGTGAGACAGGAAACTATCAATACCCTAGAGGAGAAAGCAGGAAACAACCTCCTTGACCTCTACCGCAGCAACTTCTTACTTGACACATCCCC